AACTCCTATTGCCGACATCCTCCCAGTTCCAAAGGCACGGGATGTACATCTAGGACGCCGTGTCTCCAGTGCCGTCAGGGAAGAGAACCGTACCAAACATGTGCAGGACGTAGGCCCGATAGTAGTATGTCACGGTCTGGGTGTCTACGTTGGGTGGGCACTCTCGAAACTGCTGACGAAGCCACCTCAGGGACACCCCACTGCTGCGCCGTTTCTTGCCAGCCTCAATTGCCGCTAGGGGACGTCCCAAGAAGTGCTCAACCCGCTGCTGCCATCCTTCAGACTCCGTGTCTCCTGTCACTAGGAATCCTTGGATTTTGACTCCAAGGATCATGGCAACATCCTCGAGAGTGACCGTCATCTCCCCGCATGGTAGGTGAAAGCTGTGTGTCTCCGAACGCCACCGATCTATCAACGCCGTGAGCGCTGCTGGGTTGAAAGGTGGCATGCCTTGACGACAAACACGAGCAACGGTAGCAAGGTTCGCCAGCTTTAGGAGGGGCGTGTACCTCTCGTCGTAGACCATGGTCGTAGAGGCCTCATGTGTCATTGGCCCCAGCACATTCAAAACCTGCAAAAAAAGACAAGCATGAAAAAGTATTAGTTCATATCACTTTATAAAGAGCATGGACTATAGAGCAAAAGATGAACAATGCATTGTTTCATACGAATTATTGAATATACCTCTCCGTTCTCGATCCTCCGAGCCCGGTGGTGCTCATCGAACCTTGGATCAAGAAGGGGGAACCGATCCATCCTGCAACATAAGGAATGCCAAAGCATTAGTATAAGTTAAAGCATGTATATGTGGTACGAAGTAACATAACAATAAAAAAACAAAAGTAAATCAATGCACTATTACACAAAGCAATTCAAGTAGCTAGCTTGGTGGATACCTGTTGTCTAAGTAGTTCAGGACATTTTCTCTTATTGTGGCCCATCTTATGGCAACCAGAGTAACGGCTCTTTTGGGTGTCCTCTACAAATGTGTCCCAACCTTACTCGTGGTTGATCTACCTTTCGTGGCTCGATCCATGTCCATCCTGAACCGCTTCCGCCGCCTAGGTCCTCTACTCTTCCAGAGTAAACCAAGATCAGCCACATACTTGGGGTCATCATAAGTAGGCCATCGACTCTCGTCAAGAAATGGCTCGAACTGAGGATTCTAGGTGCTCATTAGGTTCCTCAAAGAGAACTCCGCGGCCATACGGGGAGGGACCTCAGCGTCAACACGTCTAAGGCGACAGGCTGCAATCATGTGGGAGCAAGGCCTATGGTATATGGTCGGTTTTCCACACGTACACTTGTTCTCATTGATCACTACTTTATGTTTCAGAGCACCCCGGTCTTCACCACCAATGTTAGTTCCACCATCCTCTAGAATCTCATATCCATGGTTGATCGGATCGAAACATGAACCCTTCTATCGTTTAGACTTTTTCTTTGAGAAAGCTAGTTTCTGAGATGCTAAAAGTGGCCAAGCTTTGCCTGCTGTCCATAGAGACCTCGCATGTTTCTTCCTCGAAACGAACCAAGCATTCAACTTGTAGAAGGTGAATGAGGCAATAGCAGTCACAGGCAGACCACGACAACCTTTTAGAAGGCTATTGAACATCTCTGCCATGTTACTAGTCATGAAGCCCCATCTCCAACCTCCGGTGTCATATGCAAGTGACCACTTATCCTTCGACGCCATCAACTCGCTCAAGAATTGCCTGCCATCAACATTTGTGGCTAACTTCAGGGCATCTAGCTTATCTTTGAATAATTGAACCTCTTGCTGCCTGCAAACCTCCTCAAATAATTTGAAGTTGTCCTTTATGTGATCACGCCTTATAAGATTCTGAGCAAGGTGTCTGGTGCACCACCGGTGATGTATTTGGCCGTAACCAGGAATCTCTTGTTCTACGGCATTCACAATGCCAGCATGCCTATCGGATATCACACAAATATCACATCCCAGACCAATTACCACTTGTCTTACTAGCTTGAGAAACCAACACCAACTATCCATGTCCTCCTTCCGAACAATCGCAAAGGCCAATGGCATAAGCTGGTCTTCTGCATCTGTCCTAATACAAACAAGCATTGTGCCTTCAATTTTCCCTATAAGAAAGGTCCCGTCAATTGAGACGACGGGTCTGCAATGCTTGAATGCTTCGATGCTCTGCTCGAACGCCCAAAAGGCCCTTCCAAATACCTGGCTACCATTCCTTGTTTCACCCTCCTTAGGTAAATACTCGAAGTGCATCCCAGGATTTACAGCCCTCATTGCGTTCAACATTACAGGGAGGCACTCATAAGCTTCTTCCCAATTTCCAAATATTATTTCCAGTGCACGCTGCTTTGCCCTCCATGCTTTTCCATACTTGACATAGTAATTGTACCGTTGGAAGATGATCTCAACCAACGCGGACACCGTAATGGTTGGCATATGCTTCACCATGGGGCATAACTGCCTTGTAATGAACCTAGAATTGAGCTGCAGATGGTTATCTTCTACCTCAGCAGTGGCACAAACATGTGGTTGCTTCATTGAGGTAATCTTCTATTTGCCTACCTTCGTTTTCCTAGCACATACTCTCCAACCACACTATTGTTCTTCACAAGCAACAGTGTACCTCTTCTCCTTGAATGAATTGATGATCCTAAAAGGTCGGTTGTGTACAATGGAGTACTCTTGCAACCATGTTTTCAACTCATCCATGGTAGCAAACAATATGCCCTTTCGTATGATGAGGCAACCGCTAACATCAGGCACTGTTGTATCACTTGGCCCACCATCAGCTACTGCCCTGTGACCATGGCTAAGGTCCTCGAAATCACCAACTAGTGGATCTCTCCAAGGCAAGACCCTAGACAATATCTCTATTTCCCTAAAATTGAGACGACCAACAGGGCGATCGTCATCAGAGTCTTCGGCTATCTCCTCTATGAAGGATTCATCGTCTCCAGCTATCTTCATGTCAAAACGGTTCGTAGCCCTAGCATCACCAAAGTCTTCTTCACCACTAAGATCATCTTCGTCGCTAAGCTGATCCTCAATAGAAAAGTCTCCGCTAGCATCGTCCAAACCTTCTTCTGCATCACCAATTACATAATCATCATCCTCTTCATCACTATCATGATTGCCCTCACCATCGGCAACCGCATTCTCCTCGTCATCTCCACCGCCCTCAAACCAACCTCCATCACGCTCGAGCGATCCAAACACTTCACCACCACCGTAGCCTAGTTGTGTGATAAGTATTTCTTCTTCAGACAAAGGACCATAGCCTATATGAGCAGGGGAAGATGGGCATGCTTCGAAGTTATCATTTCCTAAGCCGAACTCCTTACTTACTACTAAATCCAAAGATCGCACTTCTGAGGCCAATACAACTGCCTTGTAATCATTTCATTCAGACTCGCTTGTAATTTTGAGCAACCGCTTGATCCGAGGACCCTTCGACTACCCAACATCTATGACACCTTCAAACTGAACATGCACGTCTCCTTCATTCCAGCCTAACTTAACCTTCACTCGCTCCACTAACTAGGTCAAAGATGGTGTTTCAGAAAAAATTAACAACTCCTCACACATGTCCAGAAATTCCAAACTATCATCTCTTGTCCTAACAATACAGCCTCCATAATACAACCTCACTAATTTATCCATCTACAGCCATCACACAACAAGTAGTGTCACATATCAATATATCATGCGAGTTTCAATCCAATAAGTAGAAACTAAAATATATCATTTCGTCTTTTTTAACCCCAACAACATAATCATTTCTAGTCATAAAAAATTGAAATCTAATGACCAACAAATAACTAAAATACATAATAACCCTAATGACCAACAAATAACTAACCCTAATGACACCTACAATAAACAAAGAACCCTAATGACCAAAATAACTAGAAACCAAATTAACCTAACATGTTCAGCACATAAAACAGTTAAACAACAATGCACCCAATCAACCTAAGCCATACATTTTGCAAATGCAAATACACATATACCAAAACACCATACACCCATGATTCCACATAATTAGAGACAATGCAAGCACATCTACACGGATAGATTGGAGGAGGGGAGCGACCATTACCTCGAGGAAGCTTCGGGAGACGAGATCCGGGCACCTAGGGTCGCATTTGGGGGTTAGGGTTTCGTGGGGGCTGTGGAGGGAGACGAACAGAGAGCTGGCGCTTTCAGAATGGAGGGAGGAAGAAGAAGAAGGGGGTCGCGGCGTGGCTTCAAGAGTCCAGACCTCGGCGTTGAGTCGAGCCGCGCCGAGTCTAGTGGCTCGACGTTAAGTGACCCCGCGCCGAGCTATTGGGCCACGAAGCGTTGTTGGGCCGCCAAGGCCGCGCGCCGGATGATGCCAATAGCTCGGCGTGTAGTCCCACCGCGCCGAGGTTGGGCCTATGGCGTTGGCTGACACAACGTCGACGTGTCGGACCCCATGCGCCACCGTGTCGCCGTCGACCGGGGTCGTCCGTGACGTGGCAAGACCTCGGCGTCGTGTCAGTCGACGCCGACCCTCATACCTTGGCATCATGTTCTAAGACGCCTAAAAATGATCTATTTTTAGCTAACGTTTTGGCATAGATCTTTTTATAAAAAAATGTTTTTAAAAGAGACCAAAATGCAAAAATCTCACAGAATGAGCGAGGGGTGAGATTAAGAGACCGTTAGAGATGCTTGTTGAGAGACCGCTGAAGATGCTCTAGTACACATCAGTTTTTGGTTAATTCGTTTTTTTTTAAAAAAACAGCGAATGTGATGTGCTGGTACGTCCGTACAGTACTTGAGGCCACGCTGACGCTAGATTATTCTTGCTCAAATATAGCATCCGATTTTGGTGGGAGGAAAGGAAGCCAAATGGACCGACGTGGCGCTCAAATTCTCGGCGGCCAGCCGGCCGACCGGTCCTAGCTATCTTCGCCGGCCGATCGACGACGAGCATCGCGCCGCGCCCGCCATTAATTTGTTGTGTATATACGTTCCCATGGCCAAAAACTCCGAGGAGGAGGAAGCGGAGGAAGAGGTGAACGAGCACCCGATCGAGGAGGTCCGGAACACGGTGCCCATCACCGACAACCCGTCGGAGCCGTGCCTGACGTTCCGGACATGGGTGCTGGGGATGTCCTCCTGCGTGCTGCTGGCCTTCGTCAACGAGTTCTTCAACTACCGGTCGTCCCAGCTGAGCATCGGCACGGTGCTGGTGCAGATCGCGTCGTTGCCCATCGGCCGCCTCATGGCGTCCACGCTGCCGGAGCGCCCGGTCCGCGTGCCGGTGCCGTTCGCCGGCGGCGGCAGGTCGTGGTCCTTCTCCCTGAACCCGGGCCCCTTCAGCCTCAAGGAGCACTGCCTCATCACCATCTTCGCCGGCGCCGGAGCATCCGGTGTCTACGCCCTCAACATCATCGCCATCGTCAAGGTGTTCTACCGGCGGCAGATCAACCCGTACGCCGCCATGCTGCTGGCGCAGACCACCCAGCTGCTCGGGTACGGATGGGCTGGCCTCTTCAGGAAGTTCCTCGTTGATTCCGCCTACATGTGGTGGCCGATGAACCTTGTCCAGGTCACGCTCTTCAGGTCAGTCAGTTTTTATTTATTTGCTTCCAATATAATCCTTCTTGTCGATACGAATGAACATGAACATGACATTTAGAGCCATGCACGAGGAGGAGAAGCGTCCCCGGGGCGGTGTGACGCGTCTGCAGTTCTTCATCATCGTCATGATCTGCAGCTTCGCCTACTACCTGATCCCGAGCTACCTGTTCCCGTCGCTGAGCACGGTGTCGGTGCTGTGCTGGGTGTACAGGGACTCGGTGACGGCGCAGCAGATCGGGTCGGGCCTGCGTGGCCTCGGCGTCGGCTCCTTCGGCCTGGACTGGAACACGGTGGCCGGGTTCCTCGGCAACCCGCTGGCGTCGCCGGCCTTCACCATCGTCAACGTCATGGCCGGGTTCGCGCTCAGCACCTACGTCGCGCTGCGGCTGCTCTACTGGACCGACACCTACAACGCCCGGCGCTTCCCGCTCATCTCGCCGCACGTGTACGACGACGCCGGCAGACCCTACGACACCGGCCGCGTCATCAACCCGGACACCTTCACGCTCAACCTCTCCGGCTACGACGCCTACAGCCGCATCAACGTCAGCGTGCTCTTCGCCGTCAACTACGGCATCGGCTTCGCCAGCCTCATGTCCACGCTCTCGCACGTCGCGCTCTACCACGGGAAGGAGATCTGGGACCTCTGCCGGAAGCAGCAGCAGCAGCAAGCGACGTCGGCTGACGACGTGCACACGCGGATCATGAGGTGCAACTACAAGCCCGTGCCGCAGCGGTGGTTCCACCTCATGCTCGCCGTCGTGCTGCCGCTCTCGCTCTTCACCTGCGAGGGCTTTGGCCGGCAGCTGCAGCTCCCCTACTGGGGCCTCCTCCTCGCCTGCGCCATCGCCTTCGCCTTCACGCTCCCTGTCGGCGTCATCTCCGCCACCACCAACATGCAGCCGGGGCTCAACATCGTCACGGAGCTCATCATCGGCTACCTCTACCCGGGGAAGCCGCTGGCCAACGTGGTGTTCAAGACGTACGGCTTCATCAGCATGGGCCAGGCGCTGGCGTTCCTGTCCGACTTCAAGCTGGGCCACTACATGAAAATCCCGCCGAGGTCCATGTTCTTCGCGCAGCTGGCCGGAACGCTCACGGCGTCCACGGTGCACTTCGCCACCGCGTGGTGGCTGCTCACCACGGTCAAGGACATCTGCGACGTGGACAGGCTCCCGCCGGCAGCCCCTGGACGTGCCCCGGCGACGACGTCTTCTACAACGCCTCCATCATCTGGGGCGTCGTCGGCCCGCTGCGGATGTTCGGCACACTGGGAAACTACTGGCAGATGAACTACTTCTTCCTCGTCGGCCTGCTGGCGCCGCTGCCCGTGTGGCTGCTCCAGCGCGCGTACCCGACCAACCGCGTGCTCGCCGGCGTCAACCTGCCGCTCGTCTTCGCCGGCGCCAGCGGGATGCTCCCCGCGCGCAGCGTCAACTTCCTCATGTGGGGGCTCGTCGGCTTCCTCTTCAACCACGTCGTGTACCGCCGCTACAAGGCCTGGTGGATGAGACACAACTACGTGCTCGCCGCGGGACTCGACGCCGGCGTCGCGTTCATGGGCGTCCTCACCTTCGTCGCGCTAGGATACTTCGATGTCTACGGCCCGCAGTGGTGGGGCGGCGTCGCCGACGACCGCTGCGACCTGGCCGGCTGCCCCACGGCGCCAGGAGTCGTCGCCAAGGGATGTCCGGTGGTCGCATAACGACATATAAGAGGGGAGTCCATCTTCATGTGTCGTCGTCGGTCGTGTCCCATCAGAATCAGAACCATCCGTCTGTGTGTATGCATGTCCAAATCATCTAACGCGACGATGAGTCTGCGTGTAAATTAATTGAGCTCTTGTTATTTAGTATATAATAAGTACAAATGTTGTACAAGAGTACTCCTCATTAATAGTACTCCATGTGTATATTTATTTACAGTAACTTATCTTGCGGTATCACTTAGATCCCAAAACTTTCAAAATGCATCTTAAACTCTCAAAATAAAATTTTCAGGTACCTGAACTCCTCTTGGGAGGTCCGAAACTCTGAAAATTTTAGTTTGGGTCTACTAGATTTCAGGTGTCTGAAATAGACTCTTTTTTAGGCGATGCTACAGGCCCTTAGATGTGCATCCAAGGGTTAGGTCAGTCCGCCGTCTCCCTTCTCTGCAACGCGTTCAACCCAGAACCAATCCGCCCTCTCCGTACGACCGTACCAAATTATTTCTTGGCACCTCAGATCAGCATATTCCATCTCCAACCCCCCGCTCCGTTCCCCGCACACTTTGACCCAAAAAGTTGATCCATCTTCGAGCACACGATCCCATTCCCGTTCTCAATCTCGTCCAGCAAGCCGCGGCGCCAAGCCTAGAAGCAGAGCATGGAGGACGCGTCACAAATTTTAGGCGACTGTGGTATAGGAAAAGTGTTTTAGTTTTTTTGGTCCTCGAAACTTGTCATACTATGTCATCAAGGTTCGAAAACCCTCTAGCACTCCATCTATACATGCTCTCTCCCTCTCTTCTAGCTCTATCTCCATTATCCCCCTCTCTCTCCGTATTCCAATTTAGTGTGGCGTCGTATCACAGACGCCAACTAGCGATTTGCAACCCATGCCTTCATCATCCTCAACATCAAAGGCTACAATGTCATCAGTAGTGGCGACAACAATGCCAAAGCTAGTACTCCTTAGGCAGAAGAGGTATGTGTCAGTGTTTCGAGTAAACGCCAACGAGTAAATTTGTGTTATTGCGCGTCTGGGCCGGATGATGTGCTAAAAAGACACAAGGTTTATACTGGTTCGGGCAGGATGTCCCTACGTCCAGTTCGTGGCTGCTGCTCGTGTTATTAGCGCTGAAAAGTTCGTAGTAGGGGTTATAAACGGACGAAAAGAAAAATAAGTTTGAAAGGAGAAAAGAAAAATGAGAAGTTGAGAAGAATACAAAATATCAATAAATGTTACATGATGGACTTAAAAACGCAGATGTGTATAAACTTCATCTACACTCATCTAGAAAATTATAAGAATACGTGCTTGTCTCGGTAAACTATCCATGGCTACACAGTTTTGGCGATCTAATTCAGGTAAAGATCCAAAGGTTTCCATGGAAACCTGATACATATAGGACTTTAGTTCATATATATACAAAGCAATCCTACACTAACATATGCATAGAAATTCAGAAGCGTCAAATCGTAATCTAACTAAATCTGTGACAGGAACCATTATCACTGCCAAACAATATAAAGAAGTAAAAGCAGACAAACTGTTGATAGAGGGGGGGACACTGAATAAATAGAAAAATCAACACTTTTGTTGGTAATGGAAGGCATAATTTACCTACCGTAGGAATGGAACATGACATTGCCATTCAGAGAATTTCTGTCTGTAAACTGCACCCATCATGAATGAATTGTGCTCCCAAAATGAAATTGCATCTAATGTGATTATCTTGTTGGGGGTAGTTTTGTAACTTTTAGACTTCACAAAATCTTTTGATAATCTATGTGTTAGGTAATGTGCATGCAGGAGGACACAAACAATAAACTCCATAATGTAGGTACACTGTTTGTACGTTTCTTAGGACTAAAGCAGGAATAAGAACCAAACAAAACCTAAAATCGCTCTCCCATAGGATACTTTCACTTCATTTGTTAAAACTAAAACTCTTCCAAGTTCACAAAAATAATAGCTACTAAAGACAGCATTGACATGTTTTCTATCTTAGCAAGAGCATTTCAGCATGATTCATTTTGATCAACAAAACATAGAAGCTCTCCACATGTACGGCATATGACAAGTGAAAAGCACTATAGATATGATAACATGTTTCCAAACATGGAGAATTGGAATGCCCACAGGTGTCTCTGATAAACTCAAGATTTGTAAGCAGTCATACATGTGTCTCTATAAACTCGACCCTGATAAGCAGTCATCTCATCTACAGTTCAAGGTGGAGTTAAATATCTAATAAAGTAACAACTGACTTGGGAAAAAACTATAGAAAATAATAAAATAGGAAAGAATGTAAACAGTGACATATGGGTCAAATGAGAAAAAAATGAAATACATGAAAGGCTTTAGTTCTTGAAGCTAGTAGAAAAATTTAAATTGGTATCACCATTCAGGCAAGGTCACTCAACTGCATATTTCAGCAGGCAATTGATCCTTGTAAGCAAATGACATGTTTGAGAGCAGAATAAACATAAACAGCAATCCAGATAAGGTTGCACAAGTCAAGAACTTTTGGCATGGGCCTCCAATCACTGCTGCTTGTCTATGAAGCAGAATAATTCTTTCAACCACAGCACTACCAGTCTAGCAGAGGAGGCGCAACCATTTGAAGATGGTAATAACCAAGATAACTGACAGCGTATATTGAAAGTAAAGTCGCAACATAGAGCACCAAGGTAGCAAAATCACCTTGGGTGTGGTGAGCATGGTCAAGTTGCCATGCGGCAAGCATCCGGGAGGGTGGCAGGCAAACTATGACATTCTTGTTGTGAAGTCAATTTTCTATTCATCTCTTGACCATGCTTCAGGACGAGCGAGCTTTCTCACCTTCAGGGACATGTCATCGTGGGCTTCAATAATTCTTCTCAATCATCATTGAATGTGACTTAACCAGCTGCCTGAGTCCATGAACCAAAAAATTCAGGAAAAGATGCTATATTAGGCCAATCTCCGGCAAACTCGACATCACCATCTAAATTTTTTTCTGGTAAAGGTGTTACCTTTGGCTAAATCAAAAAGTGAGGAGTAGAATAGCAGCTGCCCCCCACAGTAAGACAATTATTATAATTGTTTGTTACTATTTATTTATTGTTGTAGTGGTTACATGGCCCCTGAGTATGCGACGGGTGGCAATTACTCGATGAAGTCAGACGTTTACAGCTTTGGTATCCTGGCTGGAAAACGAAATGGCGGCCACCATCTACTTAATCCGGTGAGTGTGGCTTAGCTCTGTAATAAGCACCCTATTGGATACAATCAATCAAATAATTAACACGACCCAACCCATTCCCTGAGCTGAGCAGGTGTGGGAGCATTGGGACAACGGAACGGTGATGGACATCATCGTGGGTTCGTCATCTCTCAGCAGCAGCAGCTCCGGTGAGATGCTGAGGGGGTGCGTTCAGATTGGGCTACTGTGCGTTCAGGATAGCTCTGCTGACAGGCCCACGATGTCGGCGGTGAATGTGATGCTGTTTAACAGCAGCGACACCCCAGGAACAGCAGCAGCTCCGGTAAAAATTATCTTCATCAATTGAAGGGTTGTCTATTTTTTGAAATTTGAGTCTCATCACGCGATAAAATTGTTTATCACGTGATGAGACTTAAATATTAAAAAATAGAAAACCCTTTAATACGATATCGGATGAAGATATTTTTTATATGTAAATTGTAGACCTCGATGAGATATACAACTTTATAGTTTTGAGTTTTTTCATTTGAGGACATTAATATTCTCGAAAAAATAATATAAAATTTCAGCACCATATTTTGTCGCGTGATGAGACTTAAATTTTAAAAAATAGAAAACCCTTCAATACGATGTCGGATGAAGATAATTTTTATATGTAAATTGTAGACGTCAATGAGATCTACAACTTTGTAGTTTTAAGTTTTTTCATTTGAGGATGTTAAGATGCTCAAAAATATAATTTAAAATTTTGGCGTCTCCCGAAAATAGAAAACCGCTTTTCAAACCGGCCAAGGACCAAATTTGTCCGGTTTTGATAGTTGGAGGGTGTTTCTTAACCGGTTTTATAGTTGAAGGTTGAAAATCGAACTTTAACGCAAGTTGAGGGTTGTAAAGTATACTTTATTTAACTCCTCACGTCTATTTTTCTCGTAAAAAAAGACCCCAACGCCCGCCCTACTCACCAACGCAAACAGCGTGTAACACCAGCGCGGCCGACCTGATGGCGAAGCCCTTCCCGATGGCGGCCGTCGTGTTCCAGACTGACTCGGGCTTCTACGCCGCGCAAGAAGATGACGAAGCAGCTGACGGGCACGCCCAGGATGACGCCAACTGCTGCAACAGCCTGGGCGTGCTCAACCAGCTCGCCGCCACACGCGCCGACCGCGTCGCCGCCTGCGCCTGCGTCAAGGCCGCCGCCGCCGCGGGGTTCCCGGCCATCAGCTTTGCGCGCGCCGCCGGGCTCCCAGCCGCCTGCGACCTCTCCATCAGCTTCACGTCTTCACCATCTCCCGAATTGACGCTTGTTTTGTGCCACCGTCTGTCCGTGCAGAGCCAGAGCGTCGTGTCTTCAATTCTTGCTCCGGTGCTGTTAGCATGTTCTTGCGGTCGAAGATCCAGGAGATGATCCTGCAGAGGAGATCGAGGTCGATGAACAGCGCCGGCGCGCAGAGGAGCGAGCTCGTCGACCGTTCCATGCGACGGCGACAGTGGCGGGGACGGGGCCGTCGACGCCGGCAACAAGAATGCGACTGTGCGTGTCCTTTTCGCCTCCCCGAGGCTGCTGCACTCTTCCTCCCTGCCCGCCAGCACACGTCGCCTTCGCCAAGAGCCCGGCGCGGGACGTCGAGTCCGAGAAAGCCTTCTCCATGAGCCCGACCTCCGTGCTCGACGCGGCGGCGGCCTTCGTGCCAGGCACGGACGGCGCCGGAAAGCACCGCCTGCCGTGGCGGGCGCGGGACAACAACGGCCTTGTGGATGCGCTGGACTGCAGCGACCACCAGCAGCAGCAGGAGC